AAAATTCTGTCTATTTCACAAATTAAGTTTATAAACAATAAATTAATTTTGCGTTGCGCAACTGCTATGTATGCTGCGTGGTGGTGGCCATCTGTGAAGGGGATGAAAATTCCAATTCTTCTCTTGAGGTGAGGTACTTTTGACAAAACGTAAATCCTTTTCACGTTTTCACTAAAATATTAATTAAAGATGCGGCTGCGCATAAACTTATTTGGTCAGAAGTTTAACAGACATACACAATACACAAGTAGTACAAGCAAACGGGAATAAAGTAGGGGAAATTCTGAGTTAGGAACAGTTTCCATGCATTGCTTGGTCAAGTCGGTGTGTTAATATGATTATTTTTTGCAGTTTGTTTTTTTCCTCAACTTTAGGTAGCAGAACTGATCACCTGGTGACAAGGAACTCCCTTAATTAACATATTTGACCTTTCTTCTTCTTTCTCTTTTTTTTTTTTTTTTTTTTTTTTATAAATATATTCCTGTCAGTCTTTCTTTAACCTTCTAAATTGATGTAATTAGTTCATTATTAATTTCAAAAACTGCAATCAGCGTGCACCTAGTCAGCTTTTATTCGTGGAAAGGGTTGGACGCAACAGCTGCCATTTATTACGATCATGCATGGTTGTGATGATGACAATTAATTATACTGCTGGTTCTGCAGTATTGCTTTCACTATAAAAAAAAAAAAGAATTTCGAAAACAAGTAACAACGATATTGGCAAATATATTCATTAGTAAAATCAAAAAAAGTTAGATGCCAAACCCTTGGCTTTATTAGCTAGCAAGATACTACTGTGAGTTTAAATATTCTATTATTATCAAGAAGGAAAACTTGATTTAGTGATTAATGAGGTTGAGATTTCACGACTTTTTAAGTTCTAATCTTTATTTTCTCTCTTTACTTTTTAAATGTTGCCCCTCCTCTACTATAAAGAGAGAGAAAGAGAGAGAGTGAGAGATTTCCCTTCCGCTCCTCTTTCCAATTTCTTAAATCCTATTCTACTATTTTTTAAATTTGTGCAGGCTATGTCTAAGTTGTGAAGTGTCTTGCATTAAAATAAAAAAAAAAAAAAAATTAATGCAGAAGAAGAAGTGAGACTAATGGTGATTAGGTAAACTACTTTCACCCAATTCTACAAAAAAATCTATAATGAATGGTATCGGAATTAGACGCGTATGAAAATGTTTCTTTTTTGTTCCCTATTAATATACTATATGTTGTATTGTGATACTCTTAAATTTCCTGGATCCAGAGAGGGGAAAACTAGTTGATCCCCAGCGGTGAGAGAGACGGCAAGACCTTGTAGCCTCGCTTGTCGGGCCAAGTTTTATTAGACTTCCTATAGACTGTTGTGTGACCACCAATTAAGTACAGTAACTCGCTATCTACTTATACTGGCTAATTAATAAAGAAGCAACCGCAGTAATTTTTAAGGGCCAACGAGGTTAGAAGCTGTAGCAAGCTACTTTTGGAAGAAAAAAACTTTTTGTGTGTTTTTTTTAACAAGCCTGAAGATCATCATGTTACAGTTTAGATTGTTCATGTTTTTATATCTCCCGACTCATATCGCTTAACTTCTCCCAGAGCTAACTTAATCTAAATTTGGTTTACTATTATTTTCAAAGTGGATATCTAACAAGCTAGCTGCTGCATTAATCTTGTTTCAAGTCTACGATTGCTTTTGCAGGTGTGAAAGCCACGTAGCTATGTTCGTTCAAAGACACCTTGAGAGAGAGTAAACGTTCATACATGGAGAGTTGATATGGGAAGAATCAGAACGAAAAGGCAATTAAGGAGAAGCATCAGATATGTGCGCTTTGTACTTTGATGGAAGTGATTGAATACAGAACCGTGTAGCCGTACGCAACGATACTAAGAACAAATGACAGTGATAAGGGTCCTTAATGACTCCGACCAGTCCAAGTTCCGATGAAATGATGTACTTAATTACTACTTACCATTCATTTATTTTTATTTTTTTTTATAAGACAGCGAAATTACTTACCATTCATGATCTCTGCCTCGGTGACCCGCTAACAAAACATACTATAAGGAGGTTTATTGAGTATTGACAAGCTAAACATTGGCAGTTCGGAATCCGATAAGGAGGTTGATGGTTCCTTATTTTTTTCCCCCCTCCCCTCCACAGGCCCTTCCTGTCCCCAAGCTGTCGAGTTTAGGAGGGCGATTTTTAATCTTTGTGTATCCGTACATTTTTTTGAGTTACTTTTCCTTTCAAGTTATCATTATTGTTTTTCTTTTCTCCGTAAATTCAAGAAGTGAAAACATAAATAAAGAGAAGAATCGAATCCACAACCTTTAATTCTTAATATTTCCAATTTCAGTTATTAGATCAAAACCTCTTCGACTACTAAACTGGAGTTTCTATTTTTTGAAGTCTTAATTTTAATCACTAAACCAAAATTACTTTTTCTTTTTTGGGTTAGTTCATAATTTTCAACTGCTTGTAATCCCATACACTTTGGATAAAAAGGAAATAAGCAAGGGCTTTCATCATGTTTAGATCACACACCAGCTATAAAACTTTACTAGCTAAAATCCCAAATCGAAAAAAGTTATAGATTAACCAACAAGCTTCTCTGAGGTTTGGAGTGTTTGATTTGGTGAGGCTGACTGGCTGAGGCATGCCATTTGGAGCCTTGATTCTCGAACTAGTCATTGAGAATATGATAAGCAACAGACGCTTTTTGGGCATTAACAATACTAGTAGTAGAAGTTATGGAAAGCTTAGCTTGGCTAAGACTGTCCAAATATCGCCACGTGGCAGACAGATGCTTCCGAACCTTTCTACCACTTCAACAGTGACGCGTTGCAAAGTAAAAGCCATTATGGATATTACACGTCGGACATTGCCATTGGCGCCCGCCAGAGAACCGGTGCAGATGCTGACGCGGGGCGTCACTGTCAAAAGGGCCCCACTGGACCTCACACAAAGGAAGTAAAGAGATCAGGCGTAGTGATGCCCTAATCACTCCGTGACAAAACCCCCTGCATCATTTAATCTACCCCTACTCTTTATTTCGAATACCATTTTTTTTTTTTTCACTGTTGTTCACGTTACTTTATACCGCATCATTTTCAAAATGTTAAGCTAAGATTTACCACTGTCAATTGGAGGCCTTTGGTCATAAGTTCAACCTCTAAAACAAATTTATGTCTCCTTGTCAGTGACATTGTAACATTTTTAAGGCACAAACACAGCGTTTCATTACTCGATTATATTAAATTTTAACCTTTCTCTGTGAGCAAGCTAAGGGCCCTTTTTAACTTTGTGCACAACGTAATGACTCGCTGTTTTCATATCAAGTTTGACACCAGTGTGCTTCAGTGACACGCTTAAATTTGTATTGTTGCACTAAGCGTGATCGGAGTAGCTGTTTACAAGCTGCTAACTTTATGTGTTTGAACTTATCATCTGATCGAAAAGTGATAGCGATTCACCGTTGGGGTTAGAGTGATCCAGCATCATGGATATATTTCGGCCCGTTCAATAGCATTATGCATTGTTAAATAATCAAACGAATATAAAATGATGCAAATATGACATGTTGAGCTGGTTCTAAGAGTCTCAAAAAGAAATCTTGGGGGGGCGGGGGGGATTTAGTCTAATCAACCCATATTACCCCATCAAAGCCTTAATCATATTTATCACACTCCATTCCCTGCTCTTTGTCCTTTCTTACCTGGTTGCTTCCTGATGTCTGAAGAACTAAATAACTGCTTATAAGAGCGAAGAGGACAAATCCCGTAGTTAGGAACCATATGGGTAGATGAGGGGGGTTTGTCACAACCAATGCGGATACTTTAAGTGCTAATTCTTGATGCGTGGGTCATCTCTGTTTATTATTATTATTTTCTTTTTCTAACTTTGAGAGCGAGATGCGATGCCAATCAAAATAAAAGCGTGTATTATTACATAATTGGTAGGGAAATGCATTAATAATGTAAAAGTTAATAATGTTGTTCTCATCAAAAGTTAGTGCTGTAAACCTGTAACCAGGCAGCAGCACTAGTCCTTTAGATTCCAAAACAGGGGTAATTAGGCAAAACATAATAACACCTCGACGGTAGCCATCATGGGGCCGGACTTCCACAACCTTTTTATTTTTTTCCCTTTTTTCTTTTCTTTCCTTCCTCCCTCTCTCTTTATTACAGTACTACTTTTCTTTCCCATGTTTTTGGTTCTCCCATTTCCCACAATTCCACTCCATTTGCTGACACACTATAAAATTCATCAAATGGGAAGTGGGAACCTTAAGATTAGAAGAAACAAAGGGAAATTATCATTTGACCAAAGGGATAAAACGTAGCGTTTGATTACATGTAAGGTAATAAAACTAATACTGTAAACTCAAAAAAAGTGTAGTCTACCTCTACCAAAGCATCAAACTAACTGTTTGCAAAATAAATTCTATTCTCGCGGTCTCTATTCCTTTATGCGCTAAGTACTTTCCCATTCTTGAAAGCGGACTCTCATTCTAATTGTTACCATTCTTCTTCTTCTTTTTTTTTCCCCCTCCTACTTATGTTCTAAAATACTTGAAAACCAAAAAAAAAGGGGGAAAGGCCAGTTAAGCGGTGGGGTTTGAGGCATGAGCTGCAGGAGTTGTGTACTGGAATACACTCTGGGCTGCATCCGTGCAGGTGGAGAAGAGTGTAAAAAGCAAAAGTGGGCAGCAGCAACAGCGTTACAGCATAAGTATTCTAGTACTCGTGGAAAAAGCAATGAATTATCTTGCTCTGTGGAACAATTTGGAGCATACCTTTTCTACCCTTGTCGGTTTTTACTAGTAATAAAAAGATGATGATAGGAGTTTTGAGTCTTGGCCTTTGGGAACGTAATTCCTTCAATTATTATATTCCTATTAGTCTGAAATGAATAAAATAGTAGTAGCAGTAAAACATTATGAGTTTTTCTTGAATACTCTTTTTTTTTTTTAATGGGTTGGATGGAGATAGAATGGATAGAGATAATGGCCTGTGCTAGCAGACATTTCCTACCACCATATTCTTCTCATCTTCGCTTTCACAGATTCTTGTAGCATAGTGTCCATTGAATCCAGTTTTCTTTTTCTTTTCTCGCTGTTGCCTTTATTCATTCTGGTACATTAGTTACTATTCTATCATTAATCTTCTCTGAATTATTGCCTCCCTCCTGTCTCCTAAACTACACAAGAGTTTAGCTAACTTGGCTGTGTCTTGAGAGTCAAACTTCTCTAGTAATATCCATAAAAATACGAGGCAACCTTTTCCTGCAAACCATGCTGACTGTCAGATTTTATTGTTGGGGGGAGTCACTACTGTTATCGTCTGCTTTAGTCTATGGTTTCTGAGTTGTTCTTGTTTTCTGATTTGATTGATTTAGTTTGTGAGAGAATCTAGTTTGGTTTGTTTTAGCCCAATTCTTCATCTTGGTTTTGGCTGGTGCTTGTAGACAGGATAAAAATTAAAATTCTGTCCTGTAATTGGAAAAAAAGTAGGAATCTTGGGGGATTCTTTCATTCTTGCTTGGGTCATTTTGGGATTTCTTGTCTTCCCTTAATTCTGGGTCCTCCCTCTGGCAAGCAGTTTGGGTGGATAAGATAGAATCATTTTTAGGCTTCTTAGCTCTTATCAACTTAATTGTCTCCTGATTATGAGGTCGGTGGCCTCATTTCCTTGTTATTTTTTGTTATTTGCTTCCAAAGTTTGAATTTTTACGCTCTTAGTAGGTCTAACTAGACAGTTTCTGTAGATTTGACAGTTTGGGGGAGGGGGTGGAAGATGGGAAGTCCTTTAGTTTCTCCCAAATTTAGCCAGGGGTTGAAAAAGTATTGATCGGAGACTGTTTGAAGTTGAACCGTTCTTTTTACCAAGTCACTATCTTGGATGAGTCTACTCCATGTTATTGGATTTGGATTGAAGGTGGGGCATCTAATTCTGGTGCTATGTTGCTGGTTTGTCTCTTTGTTTTCCCTGAATTGGATAAGTAATGGTGGAGTGATGACCACAAAGACTGGTTTGCTTGCTGATGGAGAGCAGCTATGGATGAAATTGTGGGAGAAGATCTCAGGTAAGAGTTTCAAGATCCATCATCACTACTCCCAGTACATTGGGCCCAAGAGAGTGAGAAGAAACTGGTGGAAGAAGCTTTTGGTAGCATGGATAGTTGTTGGGATTCTAGTTTCTGTTTCGGTCTTCTGGTACATGAACTCCTTAGCTACGGAGAAGAGGAAAGAGACCATTGCAAGCATGTGCGATGAGAGAGCTAGGATGCTGCAGGATCAGTTCAACGTTAGCATGAATCATATCCAGGCTATGTCTATTTTAATTTCAACCTTCTACCACAGCAAGAATCCCTCGGCAATTGATCAGGTAAACTTTTGTCATCACCTCTACTGTATGAAAGAAATGTTCTACTTAATGGAGACTAGTGATTGGCTTCTTGCATCTCTTGGTTGTCCTAATTACCTTGAGAGAGACATTTGCAGCTTAAAATGTGATCAGATTGAAGTTATCTCTGTCCGACTGGTCAATTTGAGCTTTAGATTCTAGCTTGTTTGTCATCTAGGTACTTCTGCTTATATTGCTTCACGTAAAGTTTTCTTAGCTTTGTGGCTTTCTTTTCCCATACCTCGTGCTTGGCCAGAGAGAGTTGCTTCTTGGTATTTTCAAGGAATATATTAGTGTCCATTTTTATATAACCATAGGAGTCCTGACTGTTTCAATGATGCACTTTTGCTGACTACTAGATCCAGACGCTTTTCTATTGTCTCTAGGGTTCTGTTCAGGAACAATCTAACTTACCAAATTTCATAGATGACATTTGCAAGGTACACAGAGCGAACAGCCTTTGAGAGACCTCTTACCAGCGGAGTGGCATATGCTGTAAGGGTGCTTCATTCTGAAAGAGAGCAGTTTGAGAAACAACAAGGCTGGACTATTAAGAGAATGGATAGCATTGAGCAGACACCAGTTCATAAAGATGAGTATAGTTCAGAAGTCCCAGAGCCATCGCCAGTTCAGGAGGAATATGCTCCGGTCATCTTTGCTCAGGATACTATTGCCCATGTAATTTCTCTTGATATGCTCTCTGGAGAGGTAAGCTTTATTTGTCTCAACACTCTAGTTGGACTTTTCCAGCTTTAGTCAGGCATGCAAATAGAGTGAATTTAAGCTGTTTTTCTGAATGTTTGGAAGATAGAGAGGATTGGTAATTGTAATATTCCAGCAGCACAGTTGACTTGGATTGCTTTCAACTTGAAACATTTTTACCTTCTCTGCTCCGCTTAACAGATTAGGAAAGAAAAGAAAGATTTGTTTGATTCCTTGTATTGATCCCCCACAGGAAGATCGTGGGAATATCTTGCGTGCAAGAGAATCTGGAAAAGGTGTACTTACTGCTCCTTTCAGGCTAATCAAATCAAACCGCTTAGGTGTAATATTGACTTTTGCTGTGTACAAGATGGATCTACCCCCTGATGCAACCCCAGATGAGAGAACACAAGCAACTGATGGGTAAGTGATTGAATGTGACTTGTTTCATTACAGTTGCCTTGGCCTTTTTGATGGGTTTTGTTCCTTTAGTTCTAGTGGAAAAAAAAAAGAAATGGAAATTCTTACTGCACCAAAGGAAATGGAAAATAGAGGTATTGATAATCATTGTTGAATGCATTCCAAATATTACTCCAATCTTCAGGGATTAGGGCTTATCCTGCCTCTCAACCCAAAACAACATGAAGGAAGAAAGAGGGAATGAAAAGTATTCAACTAGTCATACAGCTATCAAACTGCATCTAAAGAAACAACAATTGAACTACTCTAAGAGGAACTGATTGCTTTCTTGGTTTAGTAGTCATTCCTGGATCAATGAAACCCTTTCAGTAGTATGTTGTCAAACTAACTGTTGACTGCTACTTGTAGGTTTAATGAAGATACTAAGAAGTTTTATGCTTGTAACGTATTCTGGTTAGTAGACTGGATTTATTCAAACGTTTCTGGTATTCAACTTATTCCAAGCAGGTACCTAGGTGGTGTCTTTGACGTTGAGTCTCTGGTAGAGAAGCTACTTCAACAGCTTGCAAGCAAGCAAACTATCCTGGTAAATGTCTGTGACACTACAAATATATCCCATCCTATCAGCATGTACGGTTCAAATGTATCCGATGATGGGCTGCAGCATGTTAGTGCCCTCAACTTTGGTGATCCATTCCGCAAGCATGAGATGCGATGCCGGTATAGCATTCTTTTACCCATGCACTGTTTATTTCCTGTATGTTTTCTATGGGTCCTTTCAGGTTGTTAACTCACTGAGCACAGGTTGCCTATTTACCTACGCCTAAACATTTATGATCATTCAAATGAAAGTGGAAGCATAGTCAAAATTTTCCAAATCATGCTCTTACTTGAACTTTCTGCACCATGTGCTCTATTTTGGAGAGTTCTTTGGTAATCTTAACTTTATCTCTGCTAGAGGATTCCATTATTCATATGTTTTCTAACTGATATTATTGTCACCTAAAAATAAGCAAGGATATTTATAAAATGTAATAGAGGTGAATATGGGGTTAGGAGTTGATTATTACTAGGATGGACTTAACTTGTTCTTGTCCAAAAACTGCAACTAAAGACACAAACACAGATATGGAAACATACACATTATAGTTGTAAGTACTTTTTCTCATATGCATGTCTGCTTGTGTGCCCTATATACTATGAACTTTCCATATGTTGCCGTGTTTGGTGGGGATGAGGAGGCTATTTGTGGTCTGATTGTGAGTGCCTTTCAAGTCTTTGTTCAGGGTTGTTTGGTTTGGGGGGGTGCTGGGGGAGGGATTGGGTGGAGGGGAAGAGACAGGGTGGGTGATAATGAGGAGTTGCATGGAGCAGGTGTTGGAGTGCAGGATGGAAGGGTGTGGCAGATTGATAGCCTGCTGCATGACTCTTTCCAAGAGGGTAATTATGAGAAAGGAAGGGGAGTCATCATTGGTGGTTCTTTTTCTGAGCTGGTGATGGACATGAGCAGGAGATCTTGCAAGGAGTGTGTTCTGGTTCAGTGTCAGAGAAGTATATGGGTTCAATTGCCACCCTTGATGTTTCATAATTGGTGGTGAAAGTAATCTATTGCATCTTGCTGATGAAGTTTTATTGTTGATGCAGCTTCAAACACAAACCACCTTGGCCATGGCTTGCAATAACAACCTCAATTGGCATACTTGTGATTGCATTGCTAGTGGGACAAATATTCCATGCCACAGTAAATCGAATAGCCAAAGTTGAGGATGATTATCATGATATGATGGAGCTCAAAAAGCGTGCTGAGGCGGCTGACATTGCAAAATCACAGGTACATTTTACTTTTAGTTTAAGTGCAAAAGTGTCTCCCCACATTGAGAATTTGTTGATAAAATGTCTGATGTTACATGCGACTTGCTGTAGTTTCTTGCCACCGTTTCTCATGAGATCAGGACTCCCATGAATGGTGTTCTAGGTATGTCTGCAAGTTCTTGCCCTAATATTGCTATTTTTATTCAGATGCTTCCATCTGTTTGGAGCAAGAGACTGATGTCATCAAATATGTCCAATTTCTAGGGATGTTGCATATGCTTATGGACACAGATCTAGATGTAACTCAACAAGATTATGTCAAAACTGCACAGGGAAGTGGTAGAGCTTTAGTTTCTCTTATTAATGAGGTTCTAGACCAGGCGAAGATTGAATCTGGTAAACTCGAGCTTGAGGCAGTGCGCTTTGACCTGAGAGCTATTCTGGATGATGTTTTGTCACTGTTTTCAGGAAAATCACAGGAAAAAGGTGTCGAGGTACTCTTATCAATTAGGCTTCTGATGATTTTCCTATTTTACACTTGCTTCATTTGCATCTTTATTTTAGCTAACGTGCTTTTTAAAAAAAATATATATATATTAAAAAAAAAACTTGTATGCAGTTGGCTGCCTACGTTTCTGATAAGGTCCCTGAAATGCTAATTGGTGATCCTGGGAGATTTCGACAGATAATTACGAATCTGATGGGTAACTCGATCAAAGTAAGTGCATTTCTGATTTGATTTTCCTTTTTTGGTCTGTGAAAGGAAAAGATCATGCAGAGGATAATAACTTTTTTTAGCTGTTCTCCCAGACAAAAAATAATAATAATAATAATAAGATACATAGAAAGGGAAGTCCCACAATTACTGATCCTCTTTCTTTCATTTGGTATTTGTTCCTACTTTACCACAATACTGTAGGTTTACACCAGTATGCAATGTACAAACCAATTCTTTTATATGTCCTGGCCGCCTCTTTTTGAAAAGAAGCCTGTAATTTCTAGGACTGCAGTAAAGGGATAACTTTGATATTCTCAAATTCTTGAGAGAACAATTATCAGAAAATTCCTGTTCACTACACTGGGATATAAATCAGGCAAATATGATGCCCATGCAGTAAATCTAAACAAAATAGTAAATGAGACCTTGATTTAAACTATTGTAATTAACGAAAAAGGATGAATGAGTGCTGCCAAATTTATTTGAAACAAGAGCCAAGATTTCTGCTTATATTTCTCCTGAAGAATTTTTAGCGATGATAATGGATCAGAATAAGAATGCTTTACTTTTCCTTCTGCAAAGATAGTGTCTAATTTGTACATGTTTCTTTTGCTTGGAACTGACTAATATTTTGTCTATTTGTAGTTCACGGAAAAAGGACACGTACTTGTGACTGTCCATCTTGTTGAAGAAGTGGTGGATTCTGTTAAAGGTGAAACAGAATCATATTCAGATGACACATTGAGTGGGTTGCCTGTAGCTGACAGACGACAGAGTTGGAGAGGATTTAGAGGTTTCAGCCCAGACGGACCTATTGCAGCATTACCGTCCTCCTCAATTGACGAAATCAATCTAATTGTATCAGTGGAGGACACAGGTGCAGGAATTCCTTCAGAAGCTCAGTCTCGTATATTCACCCCCTTCATGCAGGTGGGTCCCTCAATTTCCAGAACACATGGAGGCACTGGCATAGGATTAAGCATAAGCAAGTGTTTGGTCCAGCTCATGAAAGGCGAAATAGGGTTTGTAAGTTTGCCAAAGATGGGATCCACTTTCACTTTTACAGCTGTTTTTGCCAATGGTTCCGGTAATTCAAATAACCCGAAGGGCAAACAAATCAACAATCAATCCAACTCTATTTCTTCGGAGTTCCACGGCGTGAGAGCGCTAGTTGTTGATCCAAGGCCTGCACGGGTCAAAGTGTCAAAATATCACATTGAGCGCCTTGGGATCTGTGTTGAAGTAGTTCCTGATTTGAACCGTGCATTTTCTAGTATTAGCACCAAGGAGGCTACCATAGATGTTGTTTTCATTGAACAGGAAGTTTGGGATAATGATTTTAATACGTCTACTCCGTTCGTCGAGAAATTAAGAGGGACTGACATTAGTGTTGCACCAAAACTGTTTCTTTTATCTAATTCTTTAAGTTCTACCCGATCGACTGTTTCAGCTTCTGGTATTCCTGCTTCATCCGTTATCATGAAGCCAATAAGGGCAAGTATGCTTGCTGCATCCCTGCAACGTTTAATGGGCGTTGGTAGTAGGGGAAATTCGTGCAATATAGAGCTTCCTCTGAGTCTTGGAGATCTGCTTCGGGGAAGAAGAATTCTTGTGGTAGATGATAATAAAGTGAATCTAAAAGTAGCAGAATGTTTCTTGAAAAAGTATGGTGCTGATGTGGTCCGTTCAGATGGCGGGGAAGAAGCAGTCTCACTCTTGGAGCCTCCCCATAAGTTTGATGCCTGTTTCATGGATATTCAAATGCCAAAGATGGATGGGTATGTACATCTGATCGGTTTCTGTATTATTGTAGATTTATGGATGCTAGGAAATAAGCTTAATTGATCCCTTTAGGAATCTCATTCATATGATGGGACTTCACGCTTATTGTTTTCAATGATTAAAAAAGTCTGATCGTCATTTGAATCATCATGCTAGTATGGTAGCGTAGACTGCTGTTGGAAAACTTGAATTTACCATTCGAGTTTTCCTTTCTTTCATCCCGTGCAATGGTTTAAAGATCACATGACTTGAAATCTCGCAGGTTTAAAGCTACAAAGCTTATCCGCAGCATTGAATCTAAAGTAACTTCTCAAATCGAACAAGGGGAGTTGTCCGTTGAAGCTTTTGACAATGTTTCAAGCTGGCATGTGCCCATTTTGGCCATGACAGCTGATGTGATCCAGGCTACAAATGAAGAATGCACAAAATGTGGAATGGATGGCTATGTATCGAAACCATTTGATCCTGAGCGGCTTTATCGTGAAGTATCACGCTTTTTTTAGATTGTATCGAATGAAAACTAGCTAGGAACCTGGTGAATGCCCGATGTGCTCCAAGAGAAGTGCTTATCGGAGGTGTCTTGGCTTCCTCAAGTACTTGGTGGATTTTTCCCCAGTGAGTATCTTAACAACCAAATCTAAATGCTCAAGACACTGGTGCCACTGCTGGTGCTGCAAGTCTGACATTCTTCATCTTTTCTTGGTATTTTGGCAGTAAATTGATTTCTCCATTGGACTTGGGAGTGTACATGTTAGCCGAGGATTTGTGTTCGTGGCATTCACTTCGCCTCAGATAGACAACTGAGTTTTTCAACTTAACCTTCTTTTGATATTTGAAGCCTTAAATAGGGCAGTCTGACCAGACTCGAGGAAAATTTTTTGAAGAATCGAGTCTACAATTGAAGCTCTGCAGTTTATCCCATTTCCCATTTGCGAGAATGGAAATCAGCCTGGAAGATGAACTCTTAATCGTCGCTCTTCTGCAACATATGGGGAGGATCATCTCTGCACCATAGATATTGAATTAGTTGATGGTGTGAAATGCCACGTCTTGATAATATATACCAGGATATGCATCGATGTATAGTTGTGTATATATTTCAACGACAATAAAACAATCAATTGTGTAGGAGAGTTTCCAAAACCAACCTATGCCGAATTGTTCTTTTGACAATTACTATTGTCTGCTTTTTTAACAAGGAAGCAGCCATGTAAAAAAGTAGTACAGGGAGTAAAACTGGTTCGAGTGTAAAATGATAATTTTGGTGGTTCAGTATAAATTTTGTCCATTTTTTGAATAAAAAGGTGGCCACAATTGCATCGAGTGCCGAAGTGGAATTTTTCTTATCCTTCATTTTAGAAGGCTCGTTCTTGTGATTTCCTTTTCCGAGGCAACTGAGCTGCGTCCTCTTTTTTTCCTTTTTCCATTCATCAATGCCCGTGTCTGTCTGGCGTGGGATTCCGATGTTTTGAGGTTTTTCGTTGAATGAAAGAAATCATATTAACGACAGGTATAGAGGAAAATCCCTCTGCAGACATGTGTCAGGATTAGCACCTTGTTCGGGCGTCTCTCCCTTGAACTGAATTGGAGTAACAAGGATCTTAGTTTGGAGGAGTTTAGTTTTCGGGATAAGGCCAAAACTTGAATCCAAAGGGAACTTTACCTCTAGTAACATAGTATGACTCATATTTTTGACTGAAATAACTACTATATGTCAGAGGATAAAGTTGGGCACCCTCATAATTTATTAGGAAAAACCTTATAAATAGTAACAAGTTAAACTAAGAAAAAGTATACTTAATGATCAAGTTAAAATTGCTAATAGAACAACTCTACATGGGTTAAAGACCCGAATAGATGTTGCCCAGACAGAGTGGGTGGATAAACTACGTAGTATACTGTAGGTTTATATAACTACGTCCTGAACTGTCACGAAAGAAATTTCATTTGCCTTAACTTATGGAAAGGCAGTAATCCAAGCAGAAATTGGGTTGCCTTCAGCGAGGGTACAAAATATCATCGCGTAGAATAACGAGGAAGAGATGAGATATAACTTGGATGAGTTGAACAAAAAATGGAGGAAGTAGTAATAAAAATGACCAGGTACAAAAGGTGAATAGATTAATATTACAACGCTAAAGTTAGACGATCAATCTGTTCGGCTGCTTTGGGGTTATAATTGGAGAAATTTCCAATATCCAACCCAGGGAGATTTAGGGTCTGTATCTCATGAAAAGTAGAGGAGTACCCATACCGAAGGATAGGGGTATTCAAGATAGCTAGGTCGGCAAGGAATTCCTGAGACTTCAGAAAATTCTTGACCCCTAACTTCTAGCCTTCTTCGAGAGTAGCAGTGTGCTTGGCTTCGAGTTCTACTAATCTTTTTTGTTCAACCTCTAACTAAGCAAATAGAGCAGAAACCTTCTTGCTCTCTGAAGAAGCGCTGAGCTTCCCCGGACCGAGTTGACCTGATGAGTACGGCGTGCTGATGAGGAGAGCGCGTCCCAAGCCTGCAAAGCAAACAAGAGGGTGATCTGACAGGGGAGCCCCGAGATCGTCCCCGAGGGCACTCCGACGGTCAAGTTAGTTCTCCGGTGAGTGAGATTCACGGGAAGTAACACAGTCGGGAGTAACTGGCGTATAGTGAGCGTACCTTGTGCAGTTGATGTGTGTTACCATTTATACCTGCTTGGGAGTTCGACCTCCGTACGTTTCGGGACCTGTCCAGAATAGTCTCAATCCCGCTCTGAGGGGGATCCTCCCCGCCTTCTACGGGATCATTCCCTGGAGCTCCTCGGAGCCCTAGCAGCGGAGGACCGCGGGACGGTTCTCATGGGCCCGGGGTCTAAGCCCAGTTCAGGCCTCCCTGGGCTGCCACGTGTATAGGCCCAGGACGGGGCTTCTGCACTAGCCCCTTAAATTAGGTAGGGCTTCCGGGCAGACCTAATCTATACCCCTGCCACGTGGGAGCCCAGCGTCGCACTGCTCTGCCGCGGTCACCTCCGGTACAGTGCTGTCATTGGAAAGCTGCGCCCGCGTCCCTTCAGTTGTCGCGTCTCTTCGGTTTCCGTACCGCGCTTAAATGCGTTCACATGGGGCGGTTCAAATTTAAGCAGCCGTTTCTCCCCCATTTTGCTCCCTATAAATAGGGATTCCCAGATTTTCTCAGACTCTATTTGCCATTTTCCTTTCTTCAAGTATTCTTGCGATTTTCCCTTCTTCACGTATTTTCTCCTACTACCAAAAGTTCTCGCGGCAAGACTTCCGGCCATCAGTACCCAGATTCCGGCGATTCCTTCGTCTTTTTCCACTCCGATCATTAGTAAGTTTTTTTCCCCCTCCTTCGCATTTTCTTTTCCTCCTTTGCCACCTTCTGCATTTTATGTCGGATCGTTCCGGCGTTACTTCCACCGTATCCCAAACTCCGACCCGTCGTAGAGCCCCCAGAATCCTCATTTCCTCCTCGTCTTCGTCCTCATCTTCATCTTCATCTTCCCCTCCTCCTCTCTCTTCTTCCTCTGCCTCCAATCCCAACTTCCTCATTCCTGACCTGTTTGAGCCCATTGACATCATGAGCTCCCCATCTACCCATTCTCCTTCTGCCCGACTCCTGGAGGAGGTGGCCGAGCTCGATTCCCTCATCGAGCAGCAAGGCACTTCTATTCCCTCCCCCGAGTCTCCACATGACTCCCCTGGCGGAGCTCAGGGGGGAGCTGGGGAGGACAGGGACTCCTCCGAGGGGACCCCTGCTTCCGAGCAGGGGGATGATTCTGAATTCAACTACGGTCACCCCGACCGGCAGGAGGTCACCCTCTCACCCGAGGCAGTGGCCGAGCTGGCCGGGTCTTTTTCCATCCATCCGGCCTTCGAGCCGCGAGCCGCCGGACCCAACGATCGAGCCTGCCGACCTCCCCCTGGCTTTGTAGCCATTTACAGGGAGCAGCGGCTCGCTGGGCTCCGGCTCCCCATTCCTCCAGCCCTGGCGGAGATCCTGAGCTACTGGGGGCTCCGGATCACCCAGGTCCACCCCAACTCGATCAGGATCATCATTGGATTCCTGATCTATTGCCAGATCTGTTCCATCCCCTACTCACTTTCCCTCTTCCGGGCCTCTTACATCCTCAAGCTCTCCCTCCCTGGGTGGTACTACTTCTCCCGCCGAGGGGCTAACCAAGTTCGGGGGGGAAAGGGCACCCAGGATTTACTCTATGGGGTCCCCTCTTCCATAAAAAATTGGAAGGGGGACTTCCTCTTTGTAAAATCCACGAGCTTTCCCCCGAACGTGTGGAAAGTCGGGGAGGTCGACTCCGACCCCTATCCGGAGGACCTGGACCCCGAGGCCCTCGGCCAACTGATGAACTCCAAGGTAAAACTCTATGCCGCCAAGTTCTCCACCGAGTAGATCTCTGCGGCCGGACTGATGGGGACGTTGTCCGGGTCCCCTGGAGAGGTGGTGGCCTCCCCTACCGACCTCGAAACCTGTAACGCCGACTCTGTCCCTGTAGCTCGTTGTATTTATATATATATATTATATTTTTCCCTACTGACCTGTTTTGGCTGACCTGGCTATGTTTGCCGCAGTGAGGAAGCTCTCCAGGCTACTGGGCGCGCCACCCGAGCAGGTTGCTCCCGCCACGCAGCCGGAGGCATCGAAGAAGGCCTCCGAGACCTCTCCGACTCCTGGGCGCAACTCGGCCCCTCAGAAGGAGGCCTCCCAATCTCAGTCCCCCTCCAAGCAGGCCGCCAGCAAGAAGAAGGCGGCCGGGCAGAAGAGGGACCGAGGGGATGAAGCCCCCCAGCCCGAGAAGAGGCTCGCCCTCACCCAAGCACAGCCCCCTCCCCTGCTAACGTCGGGAGGCCCCGTCCACCTGGGGGTTGGTTCCGCGGAGGAGCACGCCCAGGAGACGCCTCCCCCCAGCCTGTGGCATTTCCGCCACGTGGCACCTGTGAAATCGGGCCAGGCCCCCTTTATGCACGTCTCCCGCCGCTTCTGTCCGTCATGGGGGCTCTCTATCAATAACCGAGCCCAGTTCCCCGAGGTGGCTCGCGAGTTGGTCACGGGTTCGGTCCTCCCGCGTGACAGGAGGTGGATGGACCTGGCGAGCCCGTCCGAGCTCCAGGACATGTACTTCACCGCCCAGGCCCAAGTAAGCCTTCTTCTGCTTTGACCATATGTGCCTCTGTTTCCCCCTTGGTGGAGTGCTAATTTTTACTTTCCTTTTCTCAGGCCAATGCCGCCGGCGCTGCCCTGGTGACCCGCTTCTCCGAGCTGTCTCCCGATCTGGAGATGTTGCAGAAGAAGAATCGGGAGACCGAGCAGAAGCTTGCCCAGGCCCTTAAGGGAGAGGACTCCCTTAAGGCCAAGTTGGGCAAAGCCGAGAAGGGGCTGGAGGAGGCCCAAGTCTAGCTCGCCGCCACTCTGTCCAAGTTGGACCAGGAAAAGAAGGGCGTGGCGAAACTGAGGGAGGACCATGCCATTGAGCTCTCCGGCACCGTCAGCCGGGAGCGCAAGAAGGCTGTTCGGGGGTTCATCTCCTCTGAATAGTTCGCCGAGGACGTGGCCCTCCTCAACCAGCCCATCCTCCAGGTCGGCGTCACGCGGGCCCTGGACCAGATGAAGGGCCTCAACCTGCCCGGCTTCAACTTGGCTGACTTCAAGGACTTCAACCCCGCCGCCGAGGGGAAGTGGACTGGCTCTTCGATGGGTACTGCAAAGGGCATGCCCTGAAGGACCTGGTGGGCAGGAGCGATGTGGGGCCGAGCTGGCGGAGCTTCCCCTGGAGGAGGAGGAGACTCTTGGCAGGGCTTCCGGGAAGGAGCCGGTGGCTTAGGGTAGCGGTCACTCCAGAAACCCTTTCCATCTTCTTATAAGGATGTGACCGCGCTTCGGTAATGAATGGGTTTCAATGCCCCGCAGTTCATAATTTCCATATCTTTTTGAATAGCTTTCACCATACGCCTCTCATCATGCTTGAGGTGTACCCTGCCATACGCCTCTCAACATGCTTAAAGTGTACCCTACCATACGCCTCTCAACATGCTTAAGGTGTTTCCTCAACTCCCGCCTCAAGTAGGTCGCCAGCAAGAAGAAGGCATGGTTAGGTCTTCCTTTCCTTGTATAGCTCGGTAGGCTTTGTAATAGATAGGGCCTGAATGCATATGTGAAATGAAGTTTGAATGAAACTATCCGATTTGACCTTCAATTCCCTGTTAGCGGCGAACTCTAGTAACCGAAAAGGAACACCGACCTCCCGGGTCGAGTACCAAATAGATCCACCAAGGTAGCGTGCCGACCTCTCGGGT